GATGGACGAAATCTTGCACCACCTACGTACACTGTTTCGGGTACACGTCCAAGCAGCACCCCGCACCCCCTTTTTAACATTGACGACAGATCTCTTCGGGCGGTGCAAGATTTATGTCATCGGAACGAATTTGGTAAAACCCCGTGTTCATGGCAACGTTAAGAAACGGGCGCGGTTTGAAGCTTTATAACTTATAACATACTTCAAAACCGGTGCAAGATTTCCTGCATCCACAGTAGCACTGGCAGTAGCTCTAGTTCTAGTAATATACTACGTATGGCAGTATCCTGGTAGCAGTCGTCGTCGTCGTCTTCGTGGTTTCAGCTGTGGCGGGGGTGGTGGCGGTGGTGGTGGTGGTGGCGGAGGTGGTGGTAGGAGTATGAGCAGCAGGAGCAACAGCGGCAGTAGCACTTGAAGCACCAGTCCTGGTGGCTATAGGGGCTTTAGCAGCTGCCGGAAAGTGCACAGGCATCCTCAAACATGCTGGTTGAGGCATGGGCGTGTCGATTTGCCGGCGCCGCTGGGTCCGCATATCAGGAGGTGGGGCATCTCCCTGACCGTGGTTTAGCATAGGTTTAGGGCAGTCAGTGCGATTTCAAGCGCAGGTGCGATTTCAAGCTCAGGGGCTATCAACGCCGGCCAAAAGCCTCACCAAAACCTGAACAAAAGCCCTACACCTGCCACCAATCATCAACACCGCGAGCTTGGCGCCCTTATACCCCCCAACACTTCCCTTGTAAGACCTTTGTGTCGGCACCCATGTATCCAAGCGCCCAAACCCTGAAAGGAACCTCGATGAACCTCATAACCCTCATAGTAGCCCTGAAGCCCCCAAGGCCCTATACCCGAATGTAGCAGCCCTGATAGGAATCCTGACAGCAACCCGGAAACCCATAGTACCTCTGATCGGAACCCTAAGGTAGCGAACATCCCGAGCAGTTTGCCCGGCCCGCTGCCAGCGATGCGCTTCAGGCGCTCATTGAGGCCGCTGTGGTAGTCCAACTGCGCATTTTTAGGCTCAGGGGTTTAGGATTTAGGAGCCCCAAACCCTAAACCCTGAACCGGTTTAGGGTTGGCAACGTTTAGGGGCTTCAGCTTAGTTGCTGGGTTCATAAGCCCCAAAAAGTGTACACTTTCAGTTCTATAAGGGATCATATAATCCCAAAAAGTGTAAAGTGTACTCACTCAGCTACTAAGTCAGAGTTATAGGGATTCAGGAGTTTTCGGGGGGTTGGTACAGGGGCCTGAGTCTTGAGATGAGGGCTTGGAGTATATTCGGGAGTCCTAGTTTACGGTTTTAGGGTTTTAGGGTTTTAGGGTTTTAGGGTTTTAGGGTTTAGGGTTTAGGGTTCGGGAGTCCTAGGGTGCCGCGGGCTTTTTGGGTTTGAGCGGTTTGGGTTTGGATGTTTATTGGGTTTTTGCGGTTTGGGTTGGGAGGTTTAGGGTTTCAGGGTGGTTTCTATAGAGCTTTCATGTTTTACGAGGGCTTGCGGGGGCTTTGCACAGGCCGCCATTAACCCTAGACCCTAAACCCCAAAGCCCTAGACCCTAAAACCCTAAAACCCCAAACCCTAAGCCCTAAACCCTAAAACCCTAAAACACAAAAACCCCAAAACCCCAAACCCTAGCGGTTCGGGCTTCAGAGCAGGGTTTTGGGGACCGAATATAGGGGCCTTCATGATAAGAATAGGGTTTTGGGGTAGTTTACTACAGTTGTAGGCAGGAACCACCACAGTTTTCTGGCTAATTATTAAGGCCCCTATATTAGGCATCTTTAGCCTTAACATCGAGATTCGGATGAGGCGGAACCGAGATTACTAAAAGGGCTCGAGGCCTGTCTCAAGACATCTTAGCAGCTATCGAGCTCACTGCTCGTGCCATCCTCACGGGTTTGGGGGTTTAGGGTGTAGGGTTACCAGCACACCTGACACAACACCTCTCTAAACGTCACTCTCGTGGGTTACCAGCTTTTGTCGAACTATTGCAAAGCATAAGGGGTCTCAAGAAATAGGACAGGCTGTGGGCTATGCTGCACCGGGGATATAGAAGGACCATAAGGGGACGATGTGATCAATGTCTCAAGTATAA